GGTACCAGAGTGAACTCGGGTCTTTGCGCTTGCAAGCAGGCCACCATATCACTGAGCCAAATCTCCGGCCCCCCAAAAAAAATTTTTTTAAAAAGGATTGGGATGTAGCTCAGTGAGAAGGTCCTGGGTTCATTCCCCTGTACTGAAAAACAAATATATACATACACAAACTTGATCTTAGCCAAAAGGCTCAGAAGCAAAAAATGAAAAATGCCTGGGGATGTAGTTTAGTGGTAGAGCACTGGCCTAACAGGCATAAGGCCCACAACCCCCAATACCAAAAAAAAAAAAAAAAAAAAAAAACAGATGGCATCTATGCAGCCCTATCACACCTAAATGATTCCAGGCATCTGTGTTTTCAAGAAGTATTCAAGCACATTCTGAAACATAATTCTATACCTCAATTTGGAAAGCCTTTGTTCTATGGGTCTTTGTGGTCCTCAGAAGATGAGTAACGACAATCATATATTTAACTGCCTACCAAAGGCTGAAAATGAAATGTGAATGGAGATGTTAACTGACTCCAAAGTAATAAGACCAATGGGAAAACTGGAGCAGTAACTGGGATTATAGATGAGGACACCAAACATTTCCGAAGTGGTCTAGGAAGCTGTTGCCAGGAAGAACAGTCTCGTAAGGCCCTCCCTGAGCTCAGGAGAAAGTCATCCAGGGAGCAAGAAGCAATTTACCATCTGAACATCCATATTCTCAGAGCACTAACCAAGTGTCAGGAGGGAAGACAAGGGTATTAAGAGACGTGGCCTTTGTCTCACGCCAACAAAGAAAGCATCATTAATGCCGTCAGTTTCCTATAAACATAAACACACATAACATTTTGCTCACATAATAACTCTTACTGAGGACCCACAAGTGCTGAAACCCAGGCCCAGCAGTGACTTCCACATGCCTGCTGAATGCTTACCTCTGTAAGCGCATGCAGCTGTCCTTGATGTACACAAACGCCCATGAACCTGAAAAACAAAGCAGATTTTTAAACAAAATGAAAAAGACATGAATATAAATTCCATATGGAGAAAGTAGCTGAGCTACCTAGGTATTAGAAACAATCCAATACCTGTGAAGCCTCCTGGGTTCCTATTTCATTAGCTTAATTAAGATGCCACACTGATAAATTTCTAAGTTTACCATGAAACATCTGGTTGTAGCTAGCAATATGTAGTAGTAAAAGCAATAGGTGGAAAGCAGTTTGGTAAGCCTTAAAAGTAGCATGGTAGCTAGGAGTGGTGTTGCATGCCTGTAATCCCAGCACTCAGAAGGCTGAAGCAAGAGGGCCGCCAAGCATTTGTGGCCAGTCTGGGTTACAAAGTGAGTTCACAGCCAGCCTGAAATACATAGTGAGACCTTGTCTCAAAAAAACAACAAAAAGACTAACATCTTTAATTCACAAAGAACTCTTCCAAATATATAATAAAAAGATGACCCAACAGAAAAATAAGCAAAAGTCATATACATGGTTTACAGAAAAATAAGTATAAATGGCTAATAAAATATCAAAATGTGTGGGTTGTGGTGGCGCACACCTACAATCCCAGCACTTGAGAGGCTGAGGCAGGAGAATCACCATGAGTTCAAGCCAGCTTATATAGCAAGACACTGTCTCAAAAATTAAAATAAAATGGACCATGAATTAAGCTCAGTTGTTCCACACCTGCCTTACAAGTGCAAGATTCTGAGTTCAATCCCCGGTTATCAAAAAAAAAAAAAAAAAAAAAAAAAAAAAAAAAAAAAAAAAAAAAAAAGATAAAAAAATAAAATCAGCAGGTGTGGTGGCGCACACCTGTAATCCCAGCACTAGGGGAGGCAGAGGCAGGAAGATCACTGTGAGTTCAAGGCCAGCCTGGGCTACATAGTGAATTCAAGGCCAGCCTGCACTACAAAGTGAGACCCTGACTCAAAAAACCAAAAATAAATAAAAATGTGTTCAGATTCACTTATAACTAAAGAAATACACACTAAAACAGAGAGCAACAACCTTTTAAATCAAAGACTGAGGCTGATGAGGCCTAGTGTTGTCCAGAAGATGAGGAGAAAGGACATCACATAAACCGTACAGTGCTCGGTCTAACTTTTTCAAAGGATAATTGATTACATCTAGCAAAAATTTTAAATGCTCTAATAATTCTACTTCTAGGAATTTATCTTACAAATATACTCAGTTCAGGTGAACAAAAATATCTGTAAAGCTATGATCTTAATGCTTGTGTCCCTCCAAACTTCAAGTGATGAAACAGTCCACAGGATGATGGTATTGAGCAGTGGGACCTCTGGGAGGTGATTAGGTCATAAGGACTCTGCCCTCATGAGCAGTCTTCGTGCCCTTACAGAAAACTGTGCCTGAGGAACAGTGTTTGCCCTTTCTATAAAGGGAACATATGGACACCAGAGGCTACAAAGCAGAAAGCCCTCAGGAGACTATGAATCTACTGGCATCTTGATCTTGGACTTTCCAGCCTCCAGAACTGTGAGCAGTAAATTTCTGTTTATAAATTACGCGGTCTAAGGTATTACATTATAGCAGCCCAAATGGACTAAGATAAAGAACATCTGCTTTCAACAGTGTATTTAAACCTAAATACCCACAATAAAAGACTGTTTGAATAGCTATGGTATATTGATAGGGTGGAATGCTACACAGCCATTACAAAAACTGAAGTAGATATCGAAACACTAATATGGGAAGAGACAGAACATAGAGAGTTAAATAATGAACTACAAAACAATATGGCATAATTCCATTTGTAGAAAAATATATGTGAACAGAAAATGCCTGGAAGCATTAATGGCATTGTACAGGAAGAAAGGCTGATATTCCTTTTTTTAGTTTACACACTGCTGTTATTGTTAAAAAAATTTTTTTCCTCAACCAATAGGTTATATTTATAGATAAATGTTAACAGGGTGTGGTGACACATGCCTATAATCCCAATAAAAACCATAAAGCCAGTTGTGGTGGTACATACCTGTAATCCCAGCACTCTGGGAAGCTTAGGTAGCACACCACAGTTTGAGCCCAGCCTGAGTGACAGTGACTTAGCAAGACCCTGTCTCAAAATAAGAAAATTTTCCGAGGCAGTGTGGGTGGGATTCTGGCGTGAAGGCCTGGGTTCAATCCATAATATCAAAAACAAACAAATAAACCACACACACAAAAAACCCCAACAATTTTGACTGATGAAGATCATAAACAAGGAAAAGATAAATGCCATAAAGCCAGTAATGCAAGCATTTGGGCTGTCAAAAAAAAGCCTCATAAAAAACAACACCCAAGTCCCAGATCAGCTGTAGGTTATGAGGACAGAGAGAGGGCCAGGAGCTGACTATCCGGAGAGCACGAGTACGGCGGTGGCTGTGCTGGTGAGGGCCGTGTGGACCTTGAGGCAACAGCCCATGGGTATTCATTCTCTGCCATGTTCACAGTGCCTACAAACAGGATGCAAACTCAGCACAGTACTGCAGGAGCAGAAAGAACTGCAGAGGGAGGCTGTCTGGTCAGCTGTAACATTACAGCAGAGTTTGTAAGACCTGGTGCTTCCACATTTTAACTAACATCACAGCTTCTTCCAGTGGTGGTTTCTGGACTGCTATCTGTACGTTTACCCTGAAACCTGAGGAAGGAAAAGAATCTGAGGAAAGATCTATGTAATACTGAAAACAAGGGGCAGGCTCCAGTGACAGGGCTAAAACTTACCTCCACGTGGGAAAAGATAAGAAACAAAATAGCAGAGTAGTGAAAAGGCGCGGAAGTTAGAGGGCCTGGGTTCAAGTTCCACTTTCACTTTTCACTAGGTGAGCAGTAAAACGGGGTGACACTGTAACGTAAGATTATTAGAAAGACTGAACGAAACAATGAATGTAATATGCACAGACAGTACTGGCACACAGTAAAAGTTTTTAAAAATGTAAGCAATTATCATAATTATAATTTAGGAGTGAGCCACCTAAGAATCAAAGTTGGTTCCAGGTAGCTGGGAAAAAGCTGATTTCTATGTACCCATTCTCTTCTCTGTGCCACAACCGTTCATTGTACAGACTCCTACTCCTACTCCTTGCCTTGTCACTAACAATTTCTAGGGCATGTTCAAATAAAGGTTAGTGGTTTTATTTTATTTTGTTGTTGTTGTTGTTTGGGGTTTTGGTTTTTTTTTTTTTTTTTTTTTTTTGGTACCAGGGGTCGAACTTGCACTTGCAAGGCAAGTGGTGGAACCACTGAGCTAAATCCCTGGCCCCTAGTTTATTAATTATTAATCCTATCTGGGTTACCTTTTCAAAATGCAAAATATGTCACTATTCCATTCTTTATAACATTTCAGTGGCTGTCTTCTGCTTATGGAAGACTCGAAATTCCTTACCACAGCAGTTAAAACACCATGATGAGCTAGGCATAGTGGTGCACACCTATAATCCCAGCACTTGGGAGGCTGAGGCAGGAGGATCACTGTGAGTTCAACACCAGTTGAGGCTCAACAGTGAGTTCCAGGCTGGCCTGAACTACATAGCAAGATCCTGTCTCACAGAACAAAATGCTCCACAATGTGCTCCAATTTATCTTTGAAATCTGACATTTCCCCATGGATCTTACTTATTTTTTTACCCATCTCTCCATCTCCTCTAGCTCTATCCTTGTAGCCTGAAAACATGCTCAAATTTCCCCCTTTTTAAAAACTCCTTCCTGGCTACTATATATTCCTTTTCTCGTACTATCCTGCTTCCTCCAGGGTATAGTTTTTGTATTTCTTTTCCCTCTTTTAGTCCTCTGAAGCTCATTCTAGATAGCAAGTTTCTCCCTCACTCTTCACTTTTCAAATAAACTTTGCCACTGCTTAAAAAAAAGCCTTCCTTTGCATGCTCCCTTATACATGACCCTAATTCACTCCTCATCTGTTAGCAAGCTTTAAGTTACATTCTCTGTCTACAGTTCTTTAACTTTCATTCATTCCTAGACTCATTATCTGCCTTTTGGCCATGTCATTTTTTTGGTAACTTTCATTGCGGTACATTTATTGTAATCTTCTATGTGATGCTATTTGCTATGGAAAGAGCTTTTGTGGCAGATACACAGCTCTTGACTGAAGTCCAAATTCCTTAGCGTGTTATTAGAAATAATAATCACCAAATAAGCTTCACAATGCAAGCCTTTTTTTTTTTTTGGTACCGGGGATTGAACACGGGTCCTTGCGCTAAGCCTATTTAATAGGAAAGAACATTTAGAGTATAAGATTGGAAAGCCAAGAGGTACTATTTGGCTTTATTTAATCAAATATCTATAAAGTAGCCAGGCAATAGCTTTCCATTACAAAAACAATGGCTATATCTCAAAGTATGGGTCTTCTAGAAGCTGCAGTCTGGTTTGGCTGTGATGTGCCCTTGCTTCTCTTCCTCCCAAGCCCACCGTGATTGTGACCACATACTTCAGAGGTGTCACAGTCAGCGCATCTGAGCAGGCCGGGTTCGTAGGACAATTTTCCGCTGGCCCTCTCCTCTGACCCTGCTGCAATCACCATATCACAGCTCTCTACTTCCATGTGCAGCTCTTCTGCCCGACCCCTCTCACCCCACTCCTCACACAAACAGCCACCACTACCACCACCAAAATGGTGGTGTCAGAAAGCTGGCAAGTGCCATAGGCATTAGCTTTATACTGGCAGAGGAGCCTGAGAAGAGTTAATCGTGCCAATTGATATAAACAGAATGTACTTTAAAGGGGAATTTTTTTTTTTTTTTTTTTGTGCCAGGGATGGAACTCAGGACCTTGCTTTTGCGAGGTAAGCAGCAGCAACACTGAGCTAAATCCCCGACCTAAAGGGGAAATATTACTCATCCTTTGTAAGGCCTTGGTATGTGTCTAGAAAAAAAGCATATAATATCAACAGTAATTTTTTTATTGTAGTTACTACTGCTAATTATGTTAAAATCTAAACTGTGGATGAATCCTCAAATATTTTTTTAGTACAAGGTAGCACTTTAAAATATTATACCTGTATTCTGAATGATTCTTATTCTTAACCCATCTCCAAAATTATGATTGCTAAAATTACTGACACATGAAATAAGTGCTTTTTCTTTCTTTTTGGTTGTTTTGAGACTGGGTCTTGCTATGCAGTCAGACTAAACTTGAACTTACTACTAGCCCAGATTGGCCTTGAACTCATGGCAATCCTCCTGCTTCGACCTCCCAAACATTGAGATTACAGTTATGTGCCACCTAGCTAAGGCTCTTTCTAGTCTGAATAAAAGACAGCTCATCGCTGCTCTAAAATAAGCCTAACTTTCAACTCTGATACTACTGGTAAACTAGACTTTGATTGGATACTTCAGTCTTTTCGGTAGCACAATTTACTGTTCCGCACTGATTATCAATTTTTAAAAATTTTTATTTTATTAGTACATGTTTACAGTACATTAAATTTACACTCATCCTAGGGAGTAGGTACAAGTACATGACAAATCTTGATTCCTTTTTATTCCTATTCTCATTCCGTTCTCCATCTACCTCGCTTCCTCTGTCTCTAGATCCCCTTTCCCCATTTTCATTATTATTGTTAGTATTTTTTTTTGTTCATGTTTGCAACATACAATGTTTACATTCATTGTAAGTGTTTGACATCTGTACGTGACACAGCGTAAATCTTTTTATGTCCCCTTTCCCTCACCCTTCCCTTCACTCTCAGTCTCTTGGACCCCTTCCCATTTACAAAAGATCTATTCTTTTCCAACTTCTGCCTGTTCTCAAATTGTTGCATTGGCCTAAAATGCTTCTTTCCTTATTTTTATGTAGATTCTACCCGTCCTCAATGACTCATTCAAATACTTTCTTCTCACAAAACAAATCTGGTCCCTTTCTTCTGAACTCACGCCTGTGGGTTGGCAAGGCCTCCATCTACACCTCACACCACAGCATCACCACGTCCCGCCTTTACTAGGTTTAGCCATGCTCCTGGTATTCTCCAGCAGACCACTGCTTCCTAACACCTGACATTAACAATATAAGCACTTGCTGGGGAAATGTAAAGCAACTCTGCTCTCTCAGAAATTTTTCAGTATCTAACATGTGCCAGGCACTGGTGATGATGATGACAGCTAACACTTTTTTTTTTTTTTTTTAAATATCTTCAGCTTTTAGTTTTTTTGTTCTTCGGGAGGGGTTGTTCGTTTTATTTTCTTGAGACAGCTAACTCTTAATGAGACTGACTATGCAAGTATTGTTCTAAACAATTCATATTATGTTAAATCATTTAATATTCACAATAACCCAGAAAAGTAGTACTTTTATTACCTTCATCATGCCAATAAAGACCTCGACACACAGAGAAATTGAGTATCTTGCCCCAAGTCATATAGCTAAAAAGCAGCAGTAGGTTGCAGAGTCTACGCTCTTAAGTTATGTGACATTACACCTCATAGTTATAAAAAGGATATAAAGATGAATACATAGATCTCTTCCCTATGGAGACACTGGCTACTGAAAAAGTTTCTGTGGCAGATCACACAGCTCCTGATTAAAGCCCAAATTCTCACACCTCTCTCATCTCCTTTTACATCCACCTACATTCTCAGTATTTTATATAACTTACCACTCCCAAATATGTCCTGAGTTCTCTACTTTCACATCGTTGCTAGAATAAGTTTCTGTTTCTAGCATCTATTTTTCAAAGCTTACCACTCCAAGGGACAGGGATTTAGCTCAGTGGTTCTGCCACCTGCCTTGCAAGCAAAAGGACCCAAGTTTGATCCCCAGTACCAAAAAAAAAAAAAAAAAAAGGCTTTACCACTCCTTAAAAACTTAAGAGCACAACCAGACAATAAGCATTTATAGAGCATTTACTATGCGAGGTACGGCTATATATTAAATCATTTTGGGGGTTGGTTATGATTTCTAATTCAGAGACATGATTTCAAATATTCCTCTGATCCTTCCAATCAAGACTAATCTTACTCTTCCATAAACACTCATATCAGTCTATTTCGAAACCTCTATCATAGTACTTATCAGGCCTATCTTCTAAATCAAGTTCAATCTATACCTAGTTCTTTCACTAAATTAGGTTCGAAATGCAGAGATCCATGTGCGGAAAATAATGTCTACTTCTTCATCAAAGAACTTGCCTTTTCCTTCTGAAATAGACTGTATTTCCCAGTGTTCCTTACAGTGGGTTATAACCATCACACTGAGTTCTAGCTGGAAGTATAGGGACAGATGAATGTGATCTGTCGAGTAAAACCTCAATGCTATCTCCCACATACTTTTCAAATCTTCTAGCAGATGCAGAAGACCCAGGGGAGCTGAGGGTAGTGCTGCATGCCTGTAATCCCAGCACTCGGGAGACTGAGGCAGGAGGATCGCTGCAAGTTCCAGGCCAGCCTGGGCTCCATAGTGAGTTCAAGGCCAGCCTGAACCACACAGCTAGACCCTGTCTCAAAAAAAAGAAGAATAAAAATAAAAAGAAAGAAAGAAAAAGAATCTGAGATCTTATCCTGGATTAAAAATAGCTCCCCCTCCCATCTCTATCCAATCTGCATTTAAATGAGACTGGAGCAGGAGACAAGCTTTTCGACTCCAGATTCTGGGCCGCCTACTGCAGTATTTGGCCACATACACAAAAGACTCTGCAGGTTTGCGTCTCTCTATATACTTAAAACACTGCCTTGTTCACAGTGCTCTGTAAATATTTACTGAATTTTTTGCTCACTGCAACAGCACACATAATAAAATTGGGAGGATATAGAGAAGATTAGCATGGCCACTGCACGAAGCTGACATGAAAATTCATGAAGCGTTCCATAATTTTAAAAAATATTTACTGGGGGCCGGAGATTTAGCTCAGTGGTGCCACCGCCTGTCTCCCAAACTCAAGGACCCAAGTTCCATCCCCTGGTACCAAAAAAAATTTTACTGAATTTAATTAAAACTTTAAAAATTTGTATTCTAAGGTGGGATCTTTCCTAGGCCCTACTATCAGCCAGCAGTCTCAACAAGGGGAAGGTGCAACGTTATGTATTGGAACATGGGAAGAAAATTATTAAAAAGAAAAGTTTAGCTTTCCTGATATTTAATTATGAATTAATATAAAAATAATTATGAATTCATAGTGGCAGGAGGGATGTGCTCAAAAATGTGTTCCCACAGAGAGAGTACGGAGATAGTAGGACTACTAATGGCCTCCAAGTGCTGTTCATACCCTAACCGCCAGAGTCTGGGAGTGTTGTTATAAAGCAAGGGGAATACAAGAGAGGGGCAGTTCAAATTAAAGTTGTACATGGGGAAAGGAAACAAAGCTGCCAGTCCACTGACTTTAAAATAGATTACCCTGGATTACTAAAATGGGTCTTTGTACTCTACGGATCCTCACAGATGAAAGGGAGGCAGAAGAGTCAGATCAGAGGTATGAGGTGCCGGTGCTGGTTTGGAGGGTGGAAGGAGACTACAGCCAAGGAATGGGATAAGCCACTCATAGCTGACAACACTTAAGGTAAAAGCTTTTTTTTTTTTTTTGGTACAGGAATCCAACTCAGGACCTTGCACTTGCAGGCAGGCATGATGGCGCCACTGAACCAAACCCCCAGTCCCTGGAAAGACCTTTTGAAAGGAACACAGCCCTGTAGACATCTTGATTTTACCCCAGTAGATCATGTCAGACTTCTTACCTACAGAGTTGAAAGAGTAAATGTGAGTTGTTTTAAGCTACTAGGTTTGTGGTAATTTACTGTGGTAGCCACAGGAACTAAAAATAGGTACATAATCCCAAAAAATTGTATGGACCACTATCCTGTTATAACATTCTCAAATCTGAGGTAGTTTTTGGGTTTGACTCTTTCTAAACAAGCACAAGGAAAATAATATTAATATGTTCCTTGGTGGCATTCACATTGGGGCAAATAAAATATTTATTGAACTCACAGTTCTGTACACAGTTCAGAGATGAACAGTAAAGTTTAAGTGTTGTCTTTCCCCAAAAGTTGATTAACCTAAACAGCAAAGTGAAGAGTGGGGCATGACAGGAGGCTGCCCTCATTCTGATTAAACAAACAAACAAACAGTAACACTACTGTTACCACTGTTAGACTTGTACCTGAAGTTTTATGGCCACTGTGTCAAAGATGTCAAGAAAATGAGTATATATTGCTCACCTATAATCACGTGCTCTATATGCGTCACCTGAGAGGAAACTGCCCTGATTTTATCATATAGGAAAATGAGGTTCAGAGGATTTAAGTGACTCAACAATGATTGAAAAGGATACTGGAATCTGGATGCTTGGCTCCAAAGCCCTGTGCCCTGAGACAGTAAGAATGAAAAATGGCCGGTAGTTCAATAGCAACTTTATTTTTTATTCATTTTCTAAAAGTATTGGGCAGGGGTATAGCTCAGTAATAGAACACATGCTTACCATGTGTGAGGCCCTGTGTTCAGTCCCCAGCACACTCACAAACTCCTAACACACAAAATAATTTACCTATGAATCAATGAAAATTTCACTGATTTGCTTTTACAAGCTCTTCTGCTACCACTTTTGTGCAATAAGCAGCATCTATATTAAAAGTGTTCTATCCTATACTGGTCTTTGAAGAAAAATGGTTGACTCTAAAGGTTACAGTGAGCTAGATGTGGTATGGTGGAGAATGCCTACAATCCCAGCACTCAGAAGGGTGAGACAGGAGGATTGCCCTTCTGAGTGCTGGGAGGCAACATAGTGAGTTCAAAGCCAGCCTGAATACACAGAAAGCCTGTTCAAATATATATAT